GAAAGCTTTACGGATCCGGAATTATTGTGCTGAAATACTTTAATATTTATGAATTTTCTCTGTTTCTCTCGTCGGCCTCTATAATATCTTAACTTTCAATTTTAATAATAAATTTCAAAATTAAAAAAAAATTATTTGTAAAAAAAAGAAACGATTTAAGCAAATTTCGCTCCTTTTTTTTGTTCACTTTTCTTCTTTTATTTAGAATAGAAAAAAAAAATTTTTGCTTATATACATGTATGTGTGTGTCTGTATATGTATGTGTGTGTGTATGTATGTATATGTATGTGTGTGTATATGTATGTGTGTGTGTGTGTGTGTGTGTGTGTGCATGTATGTGTGTGTGTATGTATACGTATGTATGTGTGTATGTGTCTGTATATGTATGTGTGTGTGTATGTATACGTATGTATGTGTGTGTGTGTATGTATACGTATGTATGTGCGTGTATGTGTGTGTGTGTGTGTTTGTATGCTATAATTGTAAGCAATGTTTTGAGATTGAGACCTTAGTGTAAAATATGGAACTTGTTTGAGGAATTTATTTTGTCTCTAAGATTGTTGTTTTCGTTATTTTCTTTTGACATTTTCATCCATTGCCTATTTATTTTTCAAATTTTTTATTTTCATCCTTTTTTGTTTTTTTCGTTTGATTTTTTTTTTTTGTTTTGAAAAGATTTGCAATTTAGCAATTTTTGCTAATTATTTTGTGAACAAATAAATAGTTATTTCGTGTATTCAAAATTTGCTTATTCATTATTAAAAAGATTATAGCAAATTTAAAATATAATTGTGTTAATTAGATATTTAATCTATCAAAAATTATTTAATTATTACCATTACGAGCAAATTTAAATTATTTCGTCAATATTGGCTACTACTAATTAACTTATAAAAAATTCAAATGGAAAAGAGAAAACGAAGCAACGAGCAAATGAAAATGATCAATCGTCTAGCAATTAAGTAATAATTATTAGACAATTGAATTGCTAAAAAAAAGTATTTAAATTATGAATATTTCAATAAAGGAAGCAAAGTAAAAGAAGTGATTAGATAAAAAAGAAAGAAATGATAATAATTGTGAATGAAACAAAACTGAAAAAATTTTTTGGTTCAATCCTAAATGAAATTCCAATCTGATTGATTAATTCAAAATAAATTAAAAATCCAAATTTAAATAACTAAAAATTTTTGCTTAACTTTAAACGACAAATTCTATTATATAAAAAAAAAAAGTGGGAAAGCAATCACAAAGTCAATTTAAAAAGCTATGCAATAATTTCTGTGCAAAATATTCAGTGAACTTTTCAAACCATTTTACTATCATTTGACTCTAATACATAAGTAAGTGAAAAAAAAAAAGTAAAAACAAAAAGTGATAAGAAAAAGATTTTTACACTGTTATCATTTTGAGATTAATGATAAGTGATAAAAATGGTTTATCAAATTCATTGAGTGAAATAATTACGACTAATTTTATTGTGCTAACAGCTTTTAATAACTCATAAATTTAACTTTTGGCATAATTTGAAGTGAGATTTGACACAGATTGAAGTTAATTACTTTTTTTACATGAATTCATCTTTAAAATTTATTCAATTCTGAATTTCACTGAATTGGGAATGAGATAGAGGAAGAAAGAGAGAAATATTTTCTAATTTTCTCGCTTGCAACTTTTTCAATAAATTATTTTTATAAATTTAATGAATAATTTGTCTGCTATTAATTTTATGCTATTTTAAAAGATTTTCAAACTTATATTTCACTGACATATTGCAAATATCATTGCAATATGCATCTGATACTTATCGATCAGATATGCAATAAATGCTGGGAAGAAATAATGGAAGAGAGAAAATAAATAAATAAATTTTTGATATTTTTTTTTTATTTCATATTTAGCAAATTAATTAGAAGCAGAATTAGTAATATTTGAAAAGTTTCGTCAATTTTGTGTAATTTTTTTTTTTTTAATATCAAAAATATGTGATAATAAAGGAAATAAATTTCTAATATAATCACTTCCTATTATGATAAAATTATTAATTTAATATCATAACTCATTTATGTCTTATAAACAAAGAATTGATATTTAAAAGAAAATTTTACTCAAACTATTCATTCAGTTACTATCATCCAGAAATTGCATTTAAATAAGATTAGCTGCAGTTAAGCGATAATTTGATAAAGCGTATAAAAGTATTATTTAAGTGATTAGATTAAATGATAACAGCAAATTTATCAGTGTTCTTCGATAAGTACAATGAAATGATTTCAAGAATATGAAAAACTGGTTCTAATCATCTCTTATTATCATTACTCTTTAAGATGATTACATTTAATTATTCATCGACTAACAATTTCTAATACAAATTTATCATTGCTTAATGCTTTAAGTTAAGTAAAGTTAAGTAATAGCTTAAAAAATTTAAATGAACAGATGAAAAATGAAACAATGAGATATAAATGAAGACAAGATGGAGTTATTTAAATTAAAAATTAGGAAACATGAAAAGAATAGGAAGAAAGTGATAAGGTAAACACTTGGAATGATAATTTCAATTTTAATGATAAGAGATGTAAGCAATTGATCCTTGTTAAGCAAAATTTTACATTTAGAAGATAACATTTCATCAGTTATTATAAAAAAAAGAAAACTATTCCAAACAATTCTTTTTATTCAATTTAAATGATAAAAAAAATGTTTAGTCACAAATGTTATTATTCATTCCATCCTTGAATTTTAACATTTTTAGATGAAATATTTTATAATTTATTATGATAAATGTAACTGAAATTATTAAAAATCTTTGTTAAAATTGTCAAAAAAAACATATAAATTCATCAAAAAATCCTCGTAAATTTGCTAAAAATTTAATAGAAAAGTTAATTAATTAAAAAAAAAAAAACAAAAGCATTAGAAAAATCATTAATTTATGGAAAAAAGAGAAAAAAAAAATCCAAAAATTGGATCAAAAGATAGTTTATCAAATAGAATAAAAGAAGAAATTGCTGCAACTAAAGAACGAAAGAAAAGAAAACGAAATAAAATAAAAATGGAACAATTGAAATTACAATGAAATTCACATTTTAGATATATTTTTCCCTTTCTAAATTTTTCATATTACTATATTTTGGATAAGCAATATTCTCTGTTATATATGATAGATTTGTCTTTTTCTGCAATGTGAATTAATTTTTACAGTGAATTACAATTTAAACTTTTCACGTAAAATTTCACTTAAAATTACAATTTAAACTTTTCACGTAAAATTTCACTTAAAATTACGTTTTGTAGTATAACAATGCATTTAGCAGCTTTAACTTATCTTTTCTTCTGCTCAAATTTCTCACTAATCATCACATCTTATATCAATTTTTTTTTCCTTTTTTAAATTTATATGTCATAAGGACAATTAATTAACTAATAACTCCTAGTGATCTCATTTAAAATTAAATGATTTAAATATAAAGAATATTTAAAAACAAGTAAGAATTTAAGTAATTCAAACTGGTTTCTTTTCTTTTTCTCTTTGCTTTTTTTTTGAGTTTCTTTTTTTAGACATATAAGTGTTATAAAATGAAAATAAATTTGGGTTTTTGACCGACTATCAACTATTACATAATTAATGAGAATTAACGTTGAATTCCTTAAGATTATGTCTTCAAAATACTATCAACAAAGAGAGAGAGAGAGAGAGAGAGAGAGAGAGAGAGGAAAAGAAAAAAACAGGAAATTCTTTTGATTAAATTAGATGCACAGTTTTGGATGATATTAAATTCTCGTCAATTACATCGATTATTTTGTCTTATAACATTCAATGAATAAAATGAAATGCATAGTTTTAGATAAAACAATCAATCAAATTTGATCACACTAATCGATCTAATTTAATGTAATACAATTTGTAGTAGTCACGTTGTTGTACGTGAGACAAGCGTCAAACGTGAGAAACGTGAATTAGCTTTGTGAGACTTATAATGCAGAATTGATCTGATCTATTCCTCAGTTTAGCTTAATATTGATTCAAATCGAAGCAAATGTTTTTTGACTGTTTGAAATTTCTGGAATATGCCATACCGTATAATGTGTAATGTGCTCTTATTAATTCTTTATACTTCTTCGTCATTTCAGAATGACAGAAGATGAATTTAATGATAAAAGTTAAATTTAAATTGTGAAAAACAACATTAATGTATAATCAGTGAAAGATTGATTATAAGGTGAAGGAAAGAGGAGCATTTCAGTTCTTAATATTAATTATAACTTGAAATGCAGTTTTAGGATAGAAATTCATAATAATTTGAAATTAAAATGAATTAAGAAATAAAACTTCAAAATAACTCAAAGTTCAAAGAAATTGGAAATATTATAATACTTTATGAAAATTTATAATTGACAATTGAATTAAAGTGTTTAAGTTGAAACAGAACTGAATTAAATGAAATTGTTCCATCATCGATAAGTATTTTAAAATGAAATGAAAATAATGGACCGATTTAATTTGTTTTATTTAAATGCCTAAGAGACAGATTATTTAATCATCTTTTGTCTAGAAGAAAGAGTCTCTTATTGATTAATACTGATAATTAAATCTTAAATTAGAAATTTATAATTTCAGCCACCGAAAAACGAATTAAGACAAGGGGTTACCTCTTTCCAATGATCGTTTCACATCTCGGTATCCTGTTTTCTGGATTAATTATGTTTCTCCGTCGCCTGTCCAGTTTTCCGGCGAGGTTTCCGGATTCGTCTTGACTCGTTCCTTGAATGGTTAGTAAGGAGATGGTTTTTAGTTTGAGATATGTTTATGTTAAATTTCATTTTCACTTTTATTCCTTCCCCCTTGCTTTGAGATGGAATTCACTTGATCGATGAATTAACCAGTGTTTATATATATATTTGTACTTCACGTCAGATATAAAAAATCATTTTTATCTTTGACTTACACTTTGTAGTTAGCTTAATTATAATTATTGAAGGTATGACTTCAGTATAATATGCAAGTAGAACGATTTATCATTAAAATTAGTGGTATAAATGTTAAAGTAAATCATCAAAGTTTCAATGCAAACGATTCAAAATATGAAAGTGAGATACTGCTGTTAGCAAAAGAAATGCTTTTTGCCCAAATAAATGTATAAGTTACGACTGTTTACGGTACTTTTCTTATCGTAAGTTACGGCTATTTACTGATACTTATAATGTTGCACTATTACTTACGTGTGATCAGTGTTCCCGATTTTTTTTCTTTTCTAAGTCGTGAATTGATCTCATTTAGCTAGTATTGTTTAAATGAAATAAAGATGTCTTCCTACTTCTTATTAATTTGGAAAACTTACCAGACTGTCACATTAACTTTTAACAATATTGTTACCATAATTAAGTGATATGATATAATACTCTTCAAAATTGAAATATTCGCTTTGTTTACAGGTTTTGATCTGTTGATGATAACGAAATTTCAATGCATAGTTATCAATTTGGCACTAGTGTTGTTTTTTTTTATTTATATCAATTTACACTCCAAGTCTTTATACTTAACAAGTCTCAGTCAGCAACGAAAAGTTGATGAACAGGATAGGAAGTATGAAAAATTATCATATGCATCATCAATTGTGATATATAACCGAGTAAGATTTATTGAAACATAAAGAAAAAAAAATAAAACATGTTGAAATTCTAAATGCTGGAATTTAGATAATAAAATAATCTCAGTATGCAAAGAAAAATACAGATGTTACTATAAGCAAGAAAACCAATAGTTACGAATAAATTTTATGTTGGGAATTTAATCGCAAAAGAAAAAATTTGAATTATTCAAATTAATAGTTTTAGATGGTCAGTTATTTGACTCTAAAAATTAGCGGCAAATTAGAATGTATTTTGTAGATCCCGAAAACTGGTTCAACAACACTCACCAATGCCATAATGTATAATTTATGTCATCGTAATGGCTTCAATGTGATTCATTTGAATTTAACCAGAAATCGTTATCTGATGAATATTGTGGATCAACGACGATTTATTGATAATATCACCAATTGGAAAGAGCGAATACCTGCTATTTATCATGGTCATGTTGCCTTCATTAATTTTAATCGGTGCATTTTTATTTTATTTTTTTTTCATATAAAAAATATTAAGCAGTTATTCATCTTTGGCTATTATTTTAGGAGATAATTTGGTGTGACATCTAATTGTCCATTTTATGACATATTTCGTTGTTTAATATCAAAATAATTTGTCACTTTGTTAATAAAACTAACCGAGATATCATACTTAGATTTTGCGTAAAATTATCTAAGTTTTTCATGTTAGGGTTCTTTAGATTACGCTGTCTGAACTATGTATAAATTCGAAGAGCATATTTTAGGTTTGGTCTTCCAAACCCGGTGTATATAAATTTAATACGAGAACCTCTCGATCGGTTGATATCTTATTATTATTTTCTTCGTTATGGTGATAATTATCGTGTTGGATTAAAAAGAAGTCGAGCAGGGAACAATGAGGTGAATCTAATTTATTTCTCAATTATACGTTCTCGTTTTTGCGCTTATTGCTTAAGTTTCATGTAATTTCTTTACTCTTATTCATTACTCTAATCAATAAGTAAAAAAAGAAAAAAATTATAGATACTAGTTTAACATCATAAACATCGTTTTGTATTTTGATTAATATTCATTTGTTTATGAATCTCTAATTCCTTCTGCAGGCATCTGACGACTATTTTCTGTTATACGATACATTTTGAAAAACGTCCTTCTAATAATTTAAATAAATTAAATTAGATTTCTGGAATGTGTGGTTTTTATAATAGCTGGAATTACCTCATTATCCAATTCATCCATGTAGACATAGTTAGTTTGTACCTTCAAGAAAGCACAGGCTCATTTATTAAATACATTGACTAAGTAAACTATATATGTTTTGAAAGTTAAACTTATTTAAGGTACTTTTCAGACGTTTGATCAGTGCATTGAGCGGAAAGGACATGATTGTGATATGAAGCAAATGTGGCTACAAATTCCATATTTTTGTGGCACACATCATTTCTGCAGGTAAGATAGGAAACGTCGCATATGAATGGTTCTTTTTTTCTCTCTAATTTTCATTACTCATTTTTGGTTTGAAGTTTTCTTTAATTTTAGTTTCTTTAATCGCTTCCTTACTTAGCCTATTTTTCATTTTTTTTTTTTCCTCAAAATAATTCACATATGCTTTTTGCTTTGTTATGGTATGGAATTATTTTTACTACTTTTACTGAATGATTGTTTTAGTGAAGTGGGAAACAACCGTGCATTAGAACAAGCCAAAGTTAATCTCATCAATTATTATTTGCTAGTTGGTTTGAGCGAACAAATGCGACATTTCATCGAATTGCTAGAGTTACTGTTGCCAACATTTTTTCGTGATGCATTGAAGAATTTCGATTCGCTTGATGGTTAGTTTACTTCCTCTGTGTTCTTTATTAGACCAATATGAGTATTTAAGTTAGAAGTAAAAAGATGAATTCCGGTGCACTGTAAGAAGCATTAAAGTCTTTATAGATAGATTAACAGAATTTTGAGATTTTTTAGGTAGAGCTGCTATGACGATCTATAGTAACTTCTATAATTTCTACTTTATTCTCTTCATGCCGTTTCCTCATATGATATGAATGCAAAGATATATTCAAAAACGCCACGAATCAAACCATAAAATGTTCACAGAGCGAATCTCAATGTTTTTTTGTCGATATTTTAGTAAATGTGAGAGTTATAAGATTTGCCTTTTTAGAAAAGCATGCAAATTTGCGGCACACAAACCTTAAAATACCTCCCAATAAAGCAACAGTTGAAGCAATTCGTAAGAATCCAATATATATTATGGAGCGTGAATTCTATGATTTTGCTCAAAAACAGTTCAATGAAATGAGACGAAGAGTGCTAGACGAGTCAGCAAATGAATTGCTTCCACCGCAGTTTCATTATGAAAAAATCAAACCGGTATAAAAGCATCATGATGATAATTCACTCAAAACGATTACGATACTTCGTAGACGACTGTCTAAGTGTCCAGTCCTGTACCAAGTTCTACCAAAAAAAAAAAAAAGCTAGAAAGAGGTGATATCGAAATCGATGTGCTCCAAAGATATTACACTTTTGCAAACAGTGATGTAATTGAAGATATCAGTTTAATTTGTGTGACTTCGATGAAAACAGATGGAGAATGCTAGTATTTTTTAGCAATACGCTAAAACATGTTAGAACGTGCAAGGTTACTTTATATGCAAAGAATTCTTGGATTCTACAGATAATTAGCCTTCCTTTTTTATACTACACTCTTCAAGTAAAGTAAGGTTATGCAGATGTATTTCTCAGCACAAGCACAAATATAATGCTGACTTTTTTCTGCAGTAAAACTCATTGGCATGCATATGCATTCCAAAATGCTACCTACCTCTCTTATTAGGAAGCACTGACAGTTGCATTGTTCTCCCCAAATCAATGTTACGTTGTACTTCATTTGTGCTGCGTTACTTCACGTGTACATAAACGTCACTCGAACTGTTCCTTCAATCTGAATAAAATCCGATTTTAATTGGGAATTGACAATTTCGGTAAATCGTTTAAAGGATAATGTTTGCTGAGAACCTTTTGAAGTGATTGTAACAGCTTTTTCGGTAAAATTAACTTGCTGACTAACAATATAGACAAAGAAAGAAGCGTTTTTCAATGTAGCGTTTTATGCAATACAGTTATCAACAATTTCAACAAGATATGAAATTTTGTTACCATTTATGACCAGGTTGATTAGTTTCATTTATGTCTCAACAAAAAGATTTGATTTTAAATAGCATTAAAGTAGTTCACAGGGATAATTTATGCAACAAAAAAAAAAAAAAAAATGATGGATGCAATTTAGAAGAAAATCCACTTTTAGCATTATAATAAATTGAAGTATTTTTAAAAATGAACAGATCAAATTTTCCGTAGCAAAATTTTCGCTAGCTGTTATAAAGAACTGTTTCATAAAAGGAAGCACAACAATGAAACAATTAGCACCGTACTTTTTAAAATCATTTCAAATACTTCACAGTTCGTTAGCACGTAACAAAATACCCGTCCATGAAATGAGCAAAGAAAAGAGAAACAAAAGAGTGGAACAAGTTATTGGGATAAGTTCGCTGGATGCTTCACTGAAATCTGTAGGCGAACATTCATTGCTGCAAGTTCAGCAGCCAAATAACGAAAAACCCGAGGCACTTCAACCGGACAGACCTGATCATCCTTGCCACATAGCAAACACATTTCACGTTCACTGTGATTTACAACAGAATTCTAAAAATTTTTCGATCATTTTAAAAAATGACTACAATCAAACTGGGTAGTTAAACAAGATTTCATTATTAACATTACCAGATGTTCGCCCATATATGGTAACATTTCTATTCAGTTAGAACAATTTTAAGTGAAGCAATGATAGTATAATAATTAATAGCATAATTGTGATAACCGGTCTAGATTCATTCAAAAGTATTTAATTACCCATCTACCATTAATTTTTACTTCCGATATGATTGGATGAAAATGTAATTCCATTTTAACTTGGCAAGTTAGAAATGTGAACTTAATTAAAAATTGTTTAGGCTCATTACCAGAAGTAGGAATCCCTAAAAGTTTTAAAATAAACTAGTGAATCTAATAAATAGATTATGAATGTTTCCTCTAACCAATATTTTTGGAATATTATCTGAAGTCATATTCTTCTGGTCATAAACAATATTTTTTGTTATGAATGATAAAAGAGGGATAGATATTTTCAAACTAACTTCACTATTTCGACGTTCCGACAGCATCTTTGAACATCGAAGAGTTGATATCATTGAACCACAACGCGCACAAATGTGCGCGATATCTCGGTCAGAACAATTGAAAAGACGATCCTGAAATATATTACTCAAATCCTGAATGCTATTGAAAAGAATTGAAAATTTTCTTCAAAAGTTTTTTAAGCTAATTTCTCTTCAGGAACCTGCTACCTGCAAAGTGAACGCGGCTCCGTGAGCGATCATTGCATCACGTTCCATTTCACCAAATCTAATTCCACCACCTTTCTTACGACCTTTCACTGGCTGTAACGTCACCGGATCTGTTGGGCCAGTTGATCGTACTTGAAATTTGTCAGCAATCATATGTCTCAATCGCTGATAATATACAATTCCAAAAAAAATTTGAACCTGAAAACTTTTTTATTTTTGCAAATTAACTGAAAACGTAAAAAAAGGAAATATTTTGCTCGGTGTCAAAAACTTTGATAAATACACTTCAACTACACCAAGTATAGTGCCTCCAAAATAACATACGCAAACTTAAGAATGTGATATGAATCAGTATTAAACTCCAAACGATATTATAAAAAAAATATGGATGACACCATGGAAAGTGAAAAAAATCTAAGAGTATATGTAACAGTCTAATATTTAAGAAAAAACAATCCAAAACGAAAACATTATGTCGCCGTAACTGTAGGATGCAGCAGTTTTCGTGAAAGACAAAGTTGTAAAAACAAAATATAAAGTAAAATTTAAAGAATAAACAGGTTAACAAATTCAAAAAACAGGCATAAATTGTTTAAATTTTAAGCAAAGTAAAGTCAAAATAAACAAATAATTGTCACTGGGAAAGAAATTACTAACAACTTACTTCCAATTCTCGACCATCAACACCGGAATACATCGTTTCATTTCCATAGTAATTGTATCCAGCACGAACAAGAAGTTGTCCAAAGTGATCAATAGCGGTTTTTTTCTCACTTAAACAATCAATTACTATCAGCAATGAACTTTCGTTTTTATCTCTTGCTTTTTACCTTATTTCTTCATCTCTAGCCAAGATCATGCACCACTCCTTTTTCAAATCACCAATTTATGAAACTGAAAATAAAATTGTAATTTTTTATTCCACAAAATCCGCAGACTAAAAAAAAAATACTTGAAAACAAATGGTGAAGAATCATACGTAGAACCATGCATAGCTCCTGCTTTACCAGCCATACTTTCAATCATCATTCCTGAAAAACAATTTTTAGAAATTTGTGGAAACGTTTGCAGCATCGCATCTGTCTGTATTTTAGTAAGCTATTGAAACATTAAGTGATCCCTAATAAAATATGAAAGACTCAGATACTTCAAAGCATTTAAATCAAATTTACAGTTGTAAGTATTATTCATCATCTTTAAAAAGTTAACATTATGAAAATTTCAAAAATCAATTAACAAAAAATTAGTATTCAACCATAAATGAAAAGATGCAAAAAAAAAAAACATGCCAATTGTCATTCGAGATGGAAAACCGTGCGGATTGAAAATAATATCAGGAACCATTCCAGACTCCGAAAATGGCATTGACTCGGTAGGCCATAAGAAAGAATTAATACCTTTTTGACCATGTCTTGATGCAAATTTATCACCAATTATTGGATTACGCTGTATACGCCACTGAATCAATGCATGCTGAAAAGAGAGTAAATATAGAAATTAGACTGTTAATTAAACTAATGACCTGCAACAAGTATTTCCAACCTGGGAAGTTTTTAAGGACTATATGAAGCCATGTATCTACTAATTAAACTTCATAGTAATCGTACAGAAAAATATAACTGAATTGAAAACTTACACATTTACCCTTACTATTGCCGATATGCTCGCCTTCTTCAACAATCCTTACCGAACCACAGAATGCCGCTTCCGCGTATTTGTATTTATGAACTTTATAATTGTTCGTATCAATTTCATACACCGAGTAATATGGATCACCTTCCATGTACAGACGTCCAGGAATCGGTAAACCATCAAAACCTATCGTCTTTTGAGGATTTTTAGGATCACACAAAAATACTAAGCTCCCTGTGGGTCGTCCTTCGGTTAAATTTATCCTGACATGTTACAAATTATGATGCATAAGTTGCCGGAATTTTCATTCGTCATAGTTTATGCTATAGACTATTATAGATTTTTCCAAAACAAAGAAATTATATATATTTAGCCTCACATAAATCTAAAATTCAGATCGATAATTGACATTTTCACTGTCACATCAGACTAAGTATACCACCATAACTGTTAGTACGACAAGTTTCCTAATTTATAATACATTTAGTTAGTCACTATCTCTAAAATTACTTCAAATTCATCAAGCCAGCATAATGCCGAAAAATTATAAAAGATCAAAGCACCTTTCTACTTTAACAATACTACCATGAGCAAAACCACGTTCATAGGAACTCTTATTAATAACCATGGCATCTTCCATATCATAACCTGGAAAAAAAAAAGTGATAGCGAGATAATTCCTTTTTATTTCCAAACTAAACACTTACTAATTTAAAACTAAAATTACCGGTATATGATATAACTGCAACGCATGCATTTGTTCCCAACGGATACTCATCAATACCATATTTCTCATAAGGGTCTGGTTTTACGATAGGATTTTGAGGGAACTAAAAAAAATGAACACCTTTTTTAAAATTCCAAAATTATTTTCTCCTTAAAAAACGACAACTATGCAAGCAGAAAACAGACATGACAATCGTCATTTACTTGAAGTATACAAGCAAACACTGCTTTAAAATGCAACCCCATAAAAAATCACACTTCTTCAACAAATGCTGTCTTCCTTTTCCCTGTTTATTTGTCTTGTAATATCAAAGTATTTACATATTACCATAAGTACTCCCATAAATGCATAATTTCATTTTCTGCTATCACGCATTCATTTGCATGCTCGTGTTCAGATTGCTTAAATATTTAGGATAACATTACCTGGAGACGATACATTTTATTGTCGGCTCGATAATTCCATGCATGAACAGGTATTCCCATTGTTTGCTTACCCATTTGACATTGATAAACATTCCTTGGCGATTGATTATGATCAGGAAATGGTATTAGGTTAGCAGCAAAACTAAACAAACAGCTGGGATGAATTTCTTGGTGCATTGTTACATT